GGCTTACTAAAATCACTGATGAATAATTAAACTTATAACTAAACTAACTGTCCTGTCCTGTCCTTACTGTAAAGGCGACGCGTGATAACAGGTCTATCGTATCACAGGACTGGGCTCCATCACAGGGGCCCAGGTACGATAAGATACGGTATCTAGAGTAAGACTAACACTGAGGGTGGTCACTATAGTTGCAAAAAAATTAAAAAATTAAAAAATAGTTTCCACATATCAGAAACCCCTTAACAAGTATCTGTATATACCTTTCGAGTCATTCCATCCCACCAGTAATAAAAAGGCTTTCATTAAAGGAGAGCTTACACGGTACGTTAGAAATAATTCTACTTTTGCCTCCTTTAAGGCTATTAGGGATAGCTTTTGGAAAAGACTTAGAGTCCGGGGTTACCCTTACAGCTTTCTTTTGCCTTTATTCACGGAGATCAGATACACTTATCGGTCTAAATGGCTCAAACGTATAAATCGTGGAAAACGCATAACTAGTATAAATAGACCTATCATTTTTAAGACTACTTACAACTGTAGTCACACTCGCATTAAGCGTGTTATCAACAGTATTATGCCAGAACTTGATTGTGTGGTTTGTTACAAATCCGCCACTAATCTCGCAAAACTATGTTAAAAAATTTTTGGGGTCCGTGAGTTTAGCGCTAAACTCACGGACCCCAAAACCACTTAACTTGTAAAACCACTCCCATACTATTATGGTGTAGTGGTTATTTAGTTATTCACGTATATCCTGTTCCGCCAGATAGCATTCCTCAGTTATCTCGCCCATATAGAACACTATATATACAATAGCTATAAACTCTTGTAAACTATCCCTGATGAAGACTGTGTAGACAGTCAAAACGCGTAGGATAATAAAGTTTACTAAAGTTTACACTCCGTGCTGCTCACTAGTTATTTTTCAAAAAAAGGATAATAAAGTTTACTAAAGTTTACACTCCGTGCTGCTCACTAGTTATTTTTCAAAAAATTGTTCAAAAAATTGCAAAAAGTTGCCAATTTGTACGCGTCACTGAGGACGAAGTGCTTCAACGATGGTTGCACATGGGTGGGCAAGGTTGGGGACCACGATGGATACGTTCCGCGTTGCGTCTTCAAGCTTGTCCCCTGTGGCAACCAGGGTTGCAGGACTGTCGTCCAACGTCGACAACAAAATGAACATGCTGCAGTATGTCCGTGCAGGCCTACAACCTGCACGGACTGTAACGTCAGTGGTATCCCGCTTAACGCCATCACACGTGCCTGGAACGGCGAATATTATGCCCATATTTCAGAGACCAATCTTGAGTAACTTTAATATGTTTAATAATTAATGTCATGGAACCCATGTAAAATACGTTGGTTTATCACTTTATCTGTCAGAATATTAGTCGTCCTTGGTGGTAAGGGGGGAGGGCTGTAATGTGAGTGTGCTGGGAGGGTCCAGGGATTTGATTGTAACTTTTAAAACAGTGAAGAAAGGGAATGCCAACGCACTAGAGAATCAGGCAAAAATTGATTCGATTAATAAATTTCTTGTTAAATTTTCACACCCTAACATGTATCATACTAGATGGAATTTTTTGTCAAACCATACTCAGATGAACGGGAAATTAAAATCAGGTAAATTTTAATAATTTTTTCTTCACCCTTACGCAGAAGTCAAAGTACGGAACATCTGTTCTCCTGTGAGAACAGGGTGTTACGTTGCGAAGTCCCAAACTGCAACTTCTGGGGGGAAAGGCAACAGATAGAAGACCATCACTTAGCTGGAATCTTCAGAGAAATTATTTTATCTCTAAATGTGCCTTCAGTAGGGCTGATCATACTTTACAATGCTCATAGATAATTTTTTTTAAATGTTTAATTTAATTACAAAATAGTAAACTTGAAAAGGAGGTTTTAGTGTATAAGCAAATAATATCCTACTAGTATTTCATTGTAGTTTCACAGCATGGTTTTTATTAGTACAGCCATTGCTTTGAGTTGGCTGCAATACCATGATTATTCATTAATTAAAGAATAATTAGTAAGAATTTCTATTCGTTTAATATAATATAATTCGTTTAATATAATATCATAAAATTAGTGTATTCAGGTCACAAGCTGAATTTGTCGTTGTTGCTACAAAAACATTGCACATTATATTATTAATAATCCCTAAGTTTATTTTGCTTAATCATTAAACAGAGACATCCGATACGATTAAGTAGGAGACTATAAAAGCGTCAAAAGTCCGTTTGACCTTTCTCTCTTTGATCGACTAGCTCTCGACACTAGCTCACTTGAAACAGGCTCTCTTTTTTTATATCAAATATGTCGTGGATTATTGGCGAAATTGAAATACAAGAAAGGAACGATGTCATTCTTTGTGACATCTGGTAAGCCTGTTAATACTTTATTTTGTTTGGAACACTCTACAAATGCACTATTTAATAATCTTTCTCTCCTTATTATAGCACTTTGGTAAGCTTATAGAAATAAGGACCAGAAGCCAAGCTTGTAAAATGGAGTACTACTTGATGTACTCTATACTTATGCCTTGGTTAGTGCAGTGATCCAAATTTTATAACATTTAAATTTGTTTTTTAAAGGGTTGTAGGTTTCATCATTATAAAAAGCTTTTAAGAAATACATTTTGATTGGTTGCATTGTGTTTTTTTTTTTTTCCAATTTCTAACTTGCTATATCAATTGCTTTAGTTCAATAGTTCCACTCAATTGCTGGTGTAGAGTTTTCTCTTTATGAGCCAATTAGGAAATTAGCATCGTCTGTTGCAACTTATCCCAAGGTACAGCCCTTTTGGGAAAGGGAGCAGCTTGCCATCCAGGCAAAGGTCGATCAAGGCGAGTTGAATATGTGATTAAATTAAGTTGTATTTGAATGATGATATATACTAACTTTTTGTTTAAAGGTCATACAATAAGGCCACATATAACATCAATCAACCTATTTCTTTTGAACAATTATCTCACCTAAAATTCCATTTTATGTAATGCACTGCATTCAATGTTAATCCATATCAAGCTATTAATTCTCATAATTTAGTGTATTCATGCTAACCATATTGTACATAACATAACCCATTGAAGTCAGGTTTTTCAATTACACTGTCATTAGGCTAACGTCTCTGTTTACACTGTGACGTCACTTACTGTAGAATGATAACTATATTTAACTGTCTTTTAAGAGTCCGCCACATTTCTATAAGGCAAACGGTGCGCAGGAGCCCTGTAAAAAACTTCAATGACAATGTTAAATTGCTTGCAAACTATCTCAAAACTGTACTTGAGCCTCTCTCTTATGCTACTTAATGGACGCATAGAGGGTTTTGGCGTGCTCCCAGTTCATATCTATTGTACGATGGGGTACATTTAAACGAAGAGGGGCAGATTAAATTTTATTGAAGTATACGGGGGGCAGTTTTGCAGTGTTTAAAGCGGGATATTTTGATATTTTGATATTTTAGGCCGCTGTARTCTGTTTTTTGTCATAACCATGTGCCTTTATTATGTTTATGGTTTATACTGCCCTCCTGATGCTTTTGGAGCCTTCTCAATGTCAGCATTTAATTTCATGGTGCTTGTTTAGGGACAAGCTTTTATATTTATAAGACATTCTAACGAAGTTTTGCAGGAACATGCCTCCAATTAGACAAAGCCAGCTTGCCGGTCCAGCCAACGAAGAGGGACATCGCGAGGATGTTGACATTTAGTTTGTCCCAGATCCCGTGGAAATCCCTCCCCAAGACGCTGTTGCTGATCCCGTGGAAATCCTTCCCCAAGAAGCTGTGGCTGACGCAGAGCCTAATGCGAATCCTGTCAACGATGCCATGCTTGCCACTATCGTCGCCGCTGTTAGGACTGGCATCCAGGAGACCAACCAGGTTCAGGTGCCTGCAGTTCAGGCAGCTGTGCAAGATGAGGTCTCAGCTATCACCTGGCCCTCAAACCGTGTCGCGGCTGTCGATACAGGTAGTATGTTAGTCCCCAACGCGCCTGTTTTTACTAGCATTTCTGTTCCGCTGGGCAGTCGTGCCAGCGCTAGGATCAAGGCTAAAATATGGGTGGGGGAATTCCTAAACTTTGCGTCTCTTCTGGATGTTTCTCCTCAGCCAGATAARTTCTCACTTTCTATCACGTCCCCAGGTAGCACTGGCGTGACGCCGAATCTCACATTTGAGCCGGTACAAAATCACAAAAAATGTCTCATCAATCTCTGACTGGCGTCTGCTTTCCACACTTTTGTGGCTATCTATTCGAAAAAACATCCAGGTGAGACACCGCACTTACAGTATTGTGAGATGGTGCGTGACATCTCGGCCCGCGGAGGTGACTAGCACTATTTTGATGAACAATTCAGGTTCTTAAGGCAGTCAGATCCCAATCGATATCCCTGGGGGGTGGTGCATTGGGAATTATGACACAAGTCGGTTACAGCCGCGGGAGAAGCCATCTCCACTAATAACTTAAACCAGGAACTTCACCGTGCACTACTTTTTGTGCACTTGATTGCACCCAATACAAAAGCCACAGTTTTCGTAATGGAGCAGCCTGCCACGCTGCAGGAAACAGGTACTCACAAATTCGTGCTCTCGGAAGATGGAACTCGGACGCTTTCCGTAGTTATATACGTCTGACAACTCTCAATGCAAATTGAATTGCCTCGCGGTCGGCAGTTGGATCTCTGATGATAAGTCAGTCAGGAGCTGCTATTCGCAGAGACCGGCCCCAGACCGGCTACCGTTACTGCTGTTTCTTCATACCCTGCCATGTAGGTCAGTCAGGAGCTGCTACTATGAACGGGTTTACCTTACTCTTTTTGACATCTTGCTCGGCAATCTATTTTATACAACTCTAACCATGATTAGGTCAGTCAGGGGCTGCTATGACGGTCAGAGTGTTTTAGTTCATTTTTATATCGTTAGTTTTTAGGTTATCAGTTTGTGTATATATCTACTTTTCTTAACGCGCAGTGCTAAGCTCTGGTTCTTGGTGGGGTTGCCACATTGCATGTGGCTTGTGGCAATTATTTTTCCCCACCTTTTTCCAAAGAGACCTTTAGTTAGTCATCTTCATGTCACGCCACACTCGGSATAGGTTGTTAAGWGTGGCGTGACTTTAAGTTTTATCAATAAATACGTCACGCAAGTGGCCATGTTTATCCAAACATAGTTTGTTGTCGCTTCATAAAACTAGTGCGACCCAGAGCTAAGCACCACTCAATATTCTAAATGTACTAGTTAACCATAAAGGTATTCTTGGGGCAAAAAGTATTATGTTCATTTCTTTCTTTCAGTGAGTTCTTCTCTCAAACTTTAACAAAATGACGGAGCTCTCTTAAGAGCTCAATAGAAACACCCCAGCAATGAAGAATTACATGCTTCAGTTACAAAACAAGGCCCTAGGAAAGTTACTGACAGAGCTTTCTGGAGAACTGAAAATTCAGTCAGAAAATGACCTTCTCTAATATGTAATTTGTGAATTATGTATTTTGTGTGCTCTAGTACTCTGATACTAAATTCAATGAGGTGGACTAGGGATGGGAGGATTTTGGCACTGCAGTGGAAAAACAATAGAACTGTCACAATGCTTACTTCTAAACACAACTCCAATGACTTTGTTTTTGTAGATAGGAAAGAAAAGGTAAATGATAAATGCCTGTTGCATTAATACACCATTGAACCTCCGTCTATAATTTTGTACTCGTATTTATAATTAGTCATATAAGCATTTCTGGTGTAATTTGATATTTCGGCGTCTCTACACACCACATGCAATCCGTGTTTATAGAAAGCTTTGGTTTACTTGTTTTAACTAATGTTTTTCTTTTATTGTATAATAAGTGTCCATTCAGTACACAATTCATATCAAGTTCTTGTCTAAAACACACTTTTAGCTTTCACGTGTAGGTGCAATCGCACCCATAACATCAAGTAATATTTTTAAAAAGATAAATAATAATATATTCGATCAAGCTTTGAAAGTTTGAAACTTGAAACTTGTTACTTAGCGGCTCTAAGGGGACTGGTTCGATTGTCAGGCTATTTCAAAGGCACAACTACTTGACTGTTTCTCATAGAAAACTTGACTATTTGATCATCCAAAAATTTTGATCATGAAAGCTAAGAGGGCATGAGAGCATGGGAAAGCGAATATTAAAAGTATTAAAGGTTTTAGAGTTAAAAGATTGCTTTCTGTACGAGTTTTTTTGTGTATCCACATACATTGCCTTTGATGGCATCACCTTATTATGTGACCCACTGACAACGTTAATTCAATTTGGTGTATTTAAAAGTGACTATACATAGTATATTCCAGAATTATAATCTTGTAGTGATTTCTTCAGATTTTGACACAAATCGAACCGGGAACGAATTATAGAGCTGTGTATATTAGTTACGGCCTTTTTTAAAATCCGAGAATTTGACACAGTTCTGTTTAAACTCAATAAGACAATAGTAAGATTTATCAGTGGTTAATCAGGTTGTTGAAATTTGTTTAGGTCCACTGGATGAATTTCGGGTGGGGTGCAGACGTCGACAAAGATGGGAATGTCACCATGGTCCATCATCCACATGAAGTTAAGGATTTCGGTAACTTCTTGATCGACTGTTCAAATTTCCTTTTCTAGCTATGGCTATTCAAAAGAAGAACCATGGAAAAAAGTGAAAGTTTGGAATGGAAAAGACCCTGAAACACCAAGACGACTGTACAAATGCCAAGTGAAGATCAAGACAGCTAAAGAGGCCGACCTCAAGAAAATGGCTGAGAAGCATCTTCCACCAGAAAAAAGGGATTTTTATATCAATGTGAATACTGGGGATTTGGAAGATGCTTCTGACAGTGAAGATGACGAAGAATGGGAGTAAGTAATATTATTTTCCATGGCAACTAGGATTTATGAAATTAAAAAAAACACACACATTTAATTAAAACATTATCCTAATCGTTATATTTTGTGTCAGCATTCATCCATTGTGTTTTTGTTTATATCAATGCAATTGAAATGGTTCTGATATCAGCAAACATAAAATCACACTGGACGTTTGGGGTAAAACACATGACAAATTATTACATTTAGTAGACATAATATAATATTGGCACTTTCCCTGTAGGTGATCAAGCCTGGTATAAAAGAACTCCAGCATTTTGACAGCTTGGACATAAATGGTACAGAATTCATTGAATGTGCTACGTAAATTTTAGATGATGGGTTTTTTAAATATATTTCTTGTCCTTGTGTGTCACTTATCTTGGGTGTTTCGCCTGCTAAGGACAAGCAATTGGGTGTGTCGCCTATGCTTAACAAGTGACAAACTTATATTGTTTAGTGACTGTGACTTTACTGTTTGAATCAATTCATAAAAGCAAAAACGTTAATCACTGTTAATCATAATTAAGTCCTACAATAAATAGTGTTGGGTTTTTTTCTGTACATTTTAAAAGACTGGTGCTCGAAATAGAACATTGTAATATGATTTGAAATCTGATTTTATTATTTTGTGGATTTTTTCTATACATTCGAAAACTACCGCTCATTTACTCCATACTTTGAACAGCTCATATATCCACTTCGTTTATATTTTATTGGAATTTGTTTATATGTCATTGAATGATGATGTTGTAAAGTCTTAGTTTTTCGGGGGTTAGAACCACGGATTTATTTTGTCATTAGTGTGTGTGACAGTGGGAAAAAAGTTCTAGCATTGCCGTTTAACGATCGTTTTAAGGGCTTTTCAAAAACTTTTTGATTTAATTTTCACAAATACAGATTTCAGTTTCAAACACTCCAATGACAAGTACAAGGCATCTTCCTGGTCTATCGAACCAAAATATATATGCAAGGTGATAATTGGATTGTGCTGCAGGAGAAAGAAAAGTTCTGCATCCCTACTGGGATTTCGAATGCCTTCAGTGCACTTGAAAGGATTTCACTGCATCTTTTAGCATCTTTCTCAGAACATGTGGGTTTGCGATTGATAAATGGTCATTGTCAAACCATTCAATGACAAAACAGAGTGATAGTCTCAGCTGTGGAATCTTTATGTCGAAGGTATTCTGAAAACTCAATATGAATCAAAAGTGACCATACATTGCTCATATATGTCTGTTCTCATTTTAGATGGCAGAATGTTTGTGTAAAAATCAAGAAGCAAACTTTCGTCAGATTGGAAACACATTATTTTGATTGTTTTAACCTACCCCTTGGTCTCCCAAAGTATAGAAATTGCAAAACATTTACACGTGTTCTTATTTTTCCTAAACAGACAGTTGTTAAAATCTTGCGGTATGAGTTTGCCGTCCAAATCTTAGAATCCTAAATCAAAGGTTATCCATGCTACCACTGAAACCTTTTGAACCAGTGATGGCTTACCAAGAACTTAACTTTCAAAAAGTGTATAATGTTATTTCTTTGAATCTTTCTATAGTTTAATAGAAGTTCCACTCCAAAGCCACAAAATGACATATGAGTAAGTTTTCCTCCTATGTACTTTGAATGATATATGTTTAGGACGTCTGTTTGTTGCAAAATAAGAGTTAAAGAGTTTAGTTTGTGGCAACAGCTTTATGTGTAATTGAACTCGTTGACTGACCAGTCTCATCTACTTTTTGTGTGTCCATCTATGAATGGATCATGTAAAGGTATGTTG